TGAATCACAGCGTGAGAGCCAGCGTTAATTCTCCGCACCGCTGTGGCGTGACTGTCCATCGGCGTTATGGGTAGTCGTCGAGTTTCCCCGACGTAGTTGGTTAGTGTGCAAATACACCTGATCAAATGAACGACTCCTCAAGTTGATCGCTGCGGCACGTTTTTTCTGTTCCACTATCGTATAGCCAATGATCTCCCCCGGTCTCAACGCAAATCCACCCGCAAGTGATATGTGAAGGCGACAAACAACCTCCAAAACTTTTTGCCAAGCGAAAACGCTCGCAAAAGTTTTAGGTCCGTACAGTTTGGCCCTTCGTCTCGTTCTTGTATCTACCGGTTAGAGAATTTATTCGGTTAACTGTTGGTTTTGAACGCCCGTCGAATATATTGTAGTTCGGCAGTCATGACTTTGAGCTCTCTGCGTATGTTTCAACATGCTGATTGTGGGTCCATTCAAGGCCATGTTTCTGGTTCACTAGGTTCTTGAGTAACATTTTGACCCACACGCCTTTCAACTTACATCCTGAGTTATCAAACTGCGTATCCTAAGACGGCGACATGGCTAATCGGAAATTACTTCATGCCCTTAGGAAGAGGCAATATAAAAATTATAAAACTGTGCGCTTGATAAAGGCCAGGATGCATACTTTACAGGCAGCATTCATAAACCTCATTATGTAATGCTGTAAATACAGACATTCCTAGTTTTCACAAGGAAAATCCCTACTTCTTCGAAGTAAAAATGCAGGTAGGCGTTATGTGCTACCATGTGAGTACAACAAACACCGAGTAGCAACATATTGCTATACAACTAGTCATTTTACTTAATACAAACTGTACGCACAACATTATGGAAACTACGTTATCAGCTTACATCCTGACTAGACTGAAATAGTTTACGAGTAGATTGTTTATGAGCATAGTACAATTTCAATTTGCAATAGACGGTTCTGTTCGCTGTTCACAGCATAATAGAATTTTCCGTTTCTCCCCTTACACACTTTATCGCGGATGTTAGAGAAGCAAAGATGCTTAATATTCAAACATAGGATTAATTGGCCGATGTTCCGCTGGCCATCATCAGTGCGTTATTGAGGAAATCATATTTTCAGTAATCGCGACCACAATCGCGTCTTTGTTAATTTCCGTGTTGGCGAATGCATGAATTAGCCTGTGAAGCATACAAAAAAGACTGAAAAATAGTCGTCGACGGAGGTTGCTTAACCAAAGTAAAGGGGCTCAAGAAAGGATTCTGCCGACCGCCAATGCAGAATTACAAATCGACAGAGTTGTTCCTCAGTGGTGGGCAATCAGAGCGTAGGACATTCTAAAATATTTGCACGCTAGCTGAGAACGCCCCATTTACAGGAAATATGACGTACAAATTTTATGACGAGCAAGGAGTACTCAATCGCACATCTACAATGTTCCAATGCATATGTCGTGCCAGAGCAAGCTGATGGTTTATTTACTCTGCTAGCGAATAGCTGGTAGTTCAATCTATCAACGGGTCGAAATCCAGGGAAAATAAGGGGGTGTAGTAAAGTAAAACAAGTGTCGTAATGTGGGGCAGATAAAGTGGTCGAGTTTTACACCTGGAGAATGTAAGAAAACATATCTACATTTTACGATAAAATATTTTAATTTTAGCTTGAATTAACACAAATAATTGTCTTAAAAACTGGATGCGCGACATAAATTTGTGCGAAAAGCATATGCATCCTGAACAGATATGCAGTGTTTTTTGTTACTCATATACGTTATTTAATGCTCATACGCTAGTTACATCACTATAGTGCCGTCTCTGGCAAATAGCGAGTGTACATACAGTGAGTGACCGATCTCATGAAATGTTCGCTGAAATTCTGAAGTGCGTTTTCGATTAGGAAGGATTACTTGGTCGCTGTTGTAAAACGGATTATCCTGCGACATAATCTTATAACATTTCGGACTCGGTAGGATGTCTGCTTTTGAAAACACTGCTTTTCAATCTCCTGTAGAAACGGTACTTAATAAAAAATGACTACTTAAGTAGCATGCATTTTTCTCACTGCTTTTCGATGATCTTGCAAATTCCAATATATCTTATAGAAATCATAAAAAAGAATGTACTTTCTTTCAGTCACTTAATAGAGATTTACGTCTTCATTATATTTTCTATTCAGGGAAGGAATATAATTAGGTTTTAAAAAAGTTTATAATTATGAGATTTTTTATGACCGCGCAATGTCTATTCACATAGCATCGTACCTGGACGTTTATGACAGCTCCTGGTGAAATGTACAACATAGGCCGAATCCATTGCAACATTTTATAAACTCTATATGGTATCTTCCTAACCGCATAGATGAATAAGTGATTTTCCTTACGGAGACAGCATGCGCCTTATAAACTGAAATCGCTAAACGCTAATGCAATGGCAGATCTGGCTTAAAATTATTCGGGAATTGGCAAACTTTTTTTAAAATCTAATTATACTCCTTCCTTGACTAAAAATATCAAGAAGACGTAATTCTATATTAATTCACTGGAAGAAAGCATATTTTGTTTATGGTTTCTACAAGATATATTTGAATTTGCAAGGCCATTGAAACTCAATGAAAAAATGCATGCAACTTAAGTAGTCATTTTTTTCCGACTACGTTTTTTACAGGAGATTAAAGCGCAGTGTTTCTATAGGCTGACATCCTGCCGAGTCCGAAATATCATAGGATTATGCCGGAAGATAATCACTTTTATGACCGCGCCTAAGTACTCCTTCCTATTCGAAAACACGTTTCAGAAATTCCGTCAACATTTCATGAGATAGGTCACTCAGTGTATGATTCCCTGTTCTGTTTTTATTCTGATAAGTTCGATTCATAGATCACTATGCGTTAAGTCAGTTATTATCAACACCTTGGGATGACAAACTTAGGACTAATTGAATAATGGTTACGCAAGCATTTGTTTTTACTTGCGCCAAAAAAACAGATGATATACAAAAAGCTCAGTGTATTGTTTGCGGTGCTGTCTTTTCTAGCGTATACTGGAAGTCGTCTAGGCGAGGGAACATTAAAACAACCAACGTAGTGGTGCAAATTTGCAGGACAAAATATTAAGGCATTATCTGCTAGACGATTGAAGTAAACCTTTTAACAATAAGCTCTATATCAACTTTAAAACCACTGATGCTGCAAATTGCATTCAATGCAGTGGTAGGTCTTGTCCTCGATCTGTGAAGACAAGGAAAATACCACAGGGACGAGAGAGGCGCTATGGATAACAAAGTGCGCCGATTTAAAAATTCTTATTGAGTACACAGGAGAAGACAATTAATCATTTTAGCTCATTTTAAACATCTTGTTTCTATGCTTTTTAATGATATTTTAGGCAACATAAATACATATTAACGTTTATTGGGGATGCACAACATGGAAATGTTTGAGAGTCCCTAACGCAGATCTTCTTCGTATTCACTCAGTTCGTTCGCAGGCACCTGAAGACCTCAGTAACAGTGCATTTTGCGCAATAACATGTCAATAAACACGTCTGATTACGTGTATAAACTCCAATCTTGAATCGACATTTGAATAACGGTTACACGCTTAAATGTTTCACCAAATCTTAGACGCGCTTTCTCAGCACGTAACTTCTGATTGGCGGGTTGAAATGCCGTGCCGAATGCCACAGCAATTGCAAACTTTACGGCTTTGAAAGTGCAATAAAATGAGTCGTAAATAGCCAGTCGTTCAACCACGATGTTCGAATATATTCCGCGCCCGAATAGACCTATGGTTTATTACCTATTGGCAATAGGTCTCCTCTGTTATATTTTTACTGCAAAATGGTGTATGAGTATCCACAAGGAGGTTTCCATGATCCGAAATACGAGTAAATGCCATTGCGGTTGGCAGCGTCTCGAGTACTGGCCCAAGACAAACACCTACGAGTTATCACTCGTTGTGCAGGTTAAGAAGGACAGCCATGACGGTAGCAGAAGTGCTGACCGGTTTGTCCTTGCTCGACGAATCCAACGACGTCGTTCACACCGACGAACCTACACTTTTGAGGACATGCCTGAGATTGAGGATTCCAACTGGAGATGTCAGATTACTTGTTCGGCCTACCTGCTCTATCCACAGGCATTGGATATGAAGCAGCTAGTGTCAAATATTAGGAAATGCTCTATCATACCAGAGGTAAGTATGATTTTGTAGTATCTATCGTATGACACATTTAAACATCATCTTTGAGCTGAATTTGATCACTAGTTCTTTTGTTGGCGACTGCACGCGACTATGTAGATTTTGGCAGACCTGCAGCCTGAATAAATTACCTTAGTGTTTTATTTTTGGCCGCTTTTGTTTGTATACTTCTAGCCTTTGGCCTGCATTTTATTTATTTTAATGCCTCAACTACCGGATTGATATTGACACTTATAAACCTCTCAGCAGAATTGTGATTGTGTCATAATCAGAATTGTCTTTATATGGAGGTTATGTGCTGCCTTTAGAATATCTTGTGCGCAACAGGTTATATACAAAACAGGCCTGATGGTAGTGGCGTTGACAAACTTAATTATCGAAAGATCATGTATATGTGATAGAGGGTTTAATAATATGCAGAACTTGATAATGCGCATCCTCTGCAATAATATTCACAAATCAGAAACGAATTAATCACAAGACCTGTATACGTAAATTACAAAACCCAATTAAGTTACATTAAAACAAAAACAGCGTACAATAATTAAGTGCTGATAATTGCAATATCGGAATTAAATAGTTCTTGGAATTATGTCCAGTCACAACCCAAAACGCTGTTTTGTATGGAGAGGTTATGAATTATATCTTCTACAATGAGTAGTGCAACCTTCAATAGTGTCAACCCTGTTGTACGAAATGCATCGAAGTCTACGTTTCAATGGTCGATTCAAATGGCTTATTGTTAGCCTCCATCATTGACCGTTAAAAACCGTATATATAAAGCTGCCTCTGTTGTCAGAGGTGGACAACTTTTAATTAATGGGTCTCAAATTCGAGCCCCAGAACTTTGAGGATTTGGGGGTTGAATATGAGTGGCTGACAACGATTAAACAGTCACAAATGGCCATCCCAGACTGCATTGTCTTTCTCAGTAATAACATTCTGCCTATGTATATCTTTCCTCAGGACCGATACGTCGGCTAACCGGACCAAGCAAACTTCCCATGGGTGATACAGTTTACGTGTGGGAAAATATATGTCAACATCTTAGTGCTGAACTACATTATCTGGTGGCTCTATAAACTTGAATGGCAGCCAACATTTACTTCAGGCTCTTTCGATCGTAAAATGATGATTAAATGTCTCATACAGTGCCAGTGATCATTCGATTCTGACTTTTTAGCAATTGCAATAAAGTAAATAAGCATTTGGGTTACATACGCATATATATCCACATAAGCGAAAATTCGATGTCCAGATAAATTATCGCGCTTATCATCCCCAAACAGCTGACCGCGATTCACACATGAAACGGCAGCTAATCAGCCCATCGGGCTTTAGAGGAAGGGCCCATTGGCACATGGACCTATTAACGAAAACGACGGCCGGGCAGGGGACAAATGTGACGCGGGCGTACCACTGGTCGGCCACGGAGAGACCAAAAGCAAGTAGGCAGGTCAGAGTTTATGCATCAGGCATGAACATAAAACGAGACATGCAGGGACGCAGAACAATGCTGACCTAGCAGTAACAAACACCCCACCTATCTGATGATGTGAAAAGCATTTTTCCGAAACGTCGGCACAAGTACACTGTGGTCCATGGAATCGCCTCTTCTTCATCCTCTTATCTGTCTTCTCTTGGGGGGGGGGGGTGATGAAGGCGATAATTAACCTGGACCTCGAATTTTTGCTTATATGGATATATATGCATATGTAAGCCAAAGGCTTTTATATACTTTTCTCATGCTTTAATGGGATTGCTGATGCCTCACAAGCGAATGTCTAACACTGTTTGAGACATTTAATCGTCATTTAATGACCGGGAAAGCATGAAGTAAAAGTGGGATGACATTCTCGTTTATAGAATCATCAGATAATGTATTTCAGCATCATGATGTTGACATCTGCTTTCCCACATGCGACCCTAAATCAGTGAACTATATTTTCCGTTTATTTTAATGATTGAAAGGATTGGATGTGCTCCCTGACATAAGGGATACGATGAAACCACGGATAAAGGCTATCGATTTAGCCATTTCGAGGAAAATTTACTATTTAGATAATTAAAGCTAAAGCACTCGTTCATTAAATTGTCTCCCATTTCATATTACCCAATTTTTCTTGTCAGGCTCCCATATTCAATCAGACAATCAGATTTCTAAATGTCAGCTCGACCGTCTGCATGCCAGAAAAAGCGACCGAAAAGCCACTATATGCCATTGTGATAGTGAAGTCCGCTGTCTACAATTTCGCAGATCGAGATCGCATACGGAGGGTTTATGCTAAAGAAACCCAGCACGAACCTCAATTTCACATAGCCATGGTCTTCTCCGTGGGACTACCCCGCAGCAGCGGAGGTCGGTTCTTCCAGCGTGATGGTTTCAACATCTCACTGCCACACCGGGCAGGTAGGACCATGGAGAAAATGCAAACAAAGACAGCAGAAGTTCTGAGAAATCTAACAGAAGAAGCTCGAGTGAACGGCGACCTCGTACTGGGTGACTACGAAGACACTTACTATAACCTCAGCCTCAAATTATTCCACACCTTCCAATGGGCCTCTTTTTTCTGTCGTCGACATTTCACTTCCCAAAAACGATATCCTGTCTTCACATTCTTAGATGATGATTTTGCTTTCAGTGCGAGCCTACTGAAGGCTGAATTGGACTCCCTCACTGACGCGCACATTCGTCGAGTGACTTGGGGCTTGCCACCATATGACACAGATGTTTATCTTCATTTGCATTCAATGGGGTACGAAAAGTGGTCTGTTTCAAAGCGCGAAGTGCCCTGGCCATACCACGCACCTTTCGCCCTCGGCAACTTTTATGTCATGGGCGCTGACGTTCTCCAGGAAATCGCACTAACCATGTACTTCAACCGACAGTTTCCCCTAGACGATGCCTGGTTAGGCCTGGTCATGACGAAGCTGGATCTCTATTTTCAGTCTCGTCCTCACATGTACATTAAAGTTCCGAAGGGTGTAAGAAAGGAGTTGGTTCTGTTTGCACCCCTCAACTACCTCTTTCCCTCACAGTAACTTCAAATTACGCTTTTATGAATATGTCAGATTATTGTGATTGTGCGGACGACATTCCTATGCGAGCTAGTTATATTTCAAATGCGGCATTTTTTATGATAAGTTTCGTTCAGGGACGGAATGATGTTAAGACGTGTTGGTATCGCGGAAGGGATTTAACAAAGCTGTTGCGTTAATAACGCTTTCATCGTTTTAACGCTGTCCGTATAATTAAGGAATATGTCATATCAACGTCATCATGGAAATTAAGAACGACCGTTACGTTAAAACAATAATTTGGCAGTAGCATTGGTCACGGAACAAAAATCAAAAAACATGGGGGTAGGGCTCTTTATATACAGGAATGGTAACAACTCCGGTTTTATGTGTAGGGAACAGGAAAGACAAGTAAAGGTTTACTGCTGATACGATGCGTATTTCATACAAATATAATGACCTCCCGGTGCCCTATTCCGTATTGCGATTTTCCCTGGGCAGGAGAATCAGTCACGTGGGGAGGGCGCGGGTGAGCAATTATCACGGTGTCAGTGAGCCAGTTTGCCAAGCAATCGTCACACCAGCATCGAGCACGGATGACGAAATCGCGGCGACTAACAACTCGGACTCGGACCGCCAAGCCACCGCCGCATCAATTACGACCCCAGCGGCGATTGTGAGAACTGTTAATTGCAGTGCGCATACGGTCCTACGGCAGCCACGTGCTATAAATACTGCACTCCTGGTGCCACCTTCACCTCTATCTGCGAATGTCTCTGATGATGGATTCTAGTTAGAATCCGAAACGTCAGGCAAATAAACTTCTTGTCCCAGTGATCGCATCTTCATCTTCTGAACTGCTACCTGGGACTCGCCTGTTAGCTTCTATCAGGAACGATTTTAGCTGTCTTTTATTGTGAGGGCAGCCTTCCTGTTCTCATTGACAGCTCTAAGGGAGTCCAAAGAGGCTTTGACAGCTCGGCTGATAGCTCCTTATTTATTAGTCCGGGAATTCCGTCGGGTCCGGGAGACTTATCGGGTTTTATTTAACTGGAGACGCCTCCTACTTCTTCGACGGAAAAGGCGACGGTTTCAATGACGGCAGTATCCTGGCGCATTTGAAGCTCCCGGCTGTCTCGGTCCATTTCAAACTGCTGATTGTTATGTTAGGACTCCTCCGTAGAAACCTATTGAAAAAACCGAGACAGTAAGTGCACTTTCTGTGACCCTTCAACTAATGAGTTTCCGAGGCTATTCTTTAGACACGCAATTTCTTCCCTATGTTTCCTCCTACTGCGGATGTACTAGTAAAACTTCTTGGAACATATAATGGATTCTGGTATCAGTTGGCGCTCAAAAGAAGTTCTAACAACCCGTATTTGTTTGTGGCATGTATTGCTTTGATCCTTATATTCGACGACTGACCTTGGATCTCGAAGTTGCAAATTCTATTTCCAGAGTCTCTGTTTCTTCTTCATGATCTTTTTTGTCGTCGGATTGACCCACGGCGATCGCAATCATGGTGTATCATTTTTATTGGACAATGGGAATCAATTAGACGCTCTATAATCCCGCAAAAGTACTGCCAGAATTTGTCAGAATCTTCTGTGTTGACCAACCAGGTTTCCTCCAAAAGAGTGCGTCTCATTGCGTTAAGGTCACCCTTCCAAATATGTCTGCGCCTCTTGATTTTTGGTTGTTGGTTCGATAGGAGAGAGAACACGCAGGTAAAAACAATATGTCATCGCTTAAACCGAGTGGAGTTTGTGGATTCACTTCCCTTATGAGTCCTTCTTCTTTACTGAAAACGAGATCTAAACAGTTAGATCGTTGTCCTTCTCTCATTCTTGTTCCGAATTTTATGTGTTAAATGAGATATTCCTTCAGGGCGAGTTGTAGTAGCTTGTGGTAAAATAACGTGGACGCGGCGTTTGTTAAGGGAATGTTCCAGTCTATTCCTGGAGCGATAAAGTCACTCAGAAGAAGTAATTTCTCCTGCTTACAAAACAACTCCAGTGCACTAAGTAATTCCATATCGGCGATTTCATTCGAGCTAGGAGGCCGATAGACAACACAAAGGTTCAGTGTCGGTAATTGTTTCATACATATCTTGTATGAAGTTATTTCAAAATTTTGCGGTGCCCCATCGGATATGTCTCGCTGTCACCACGGAATTTCATTTGACACATAAATCGCTGTGCCTCCTCCTCTACGCTGAAATCTGTCACCATGGAACAGTTGGTAGCCTTCAATTCTGACTTCGCTACTACTAATTCCCTCAGTCCACCATGTCTCTGTTAGGACAATTATGTGTGGCTTCTGTTCAGAGACTAGTAATCTGAGTTCATCTAGCTTGTTGAGAAGACTCTGACAGTTAGTGTAATCGATTTCTAGACAGCAGCCACTGGTGCTATCAGCCTCGGGAGTTGGCACCTTTGCATCGGTTAGGCTGTCAGAATGACGGCCTTCAGCCATAGAAATATCCTTTTGACCTGAATTATTTGTCCGTTCTTGATTTGTACTTCTGGTTCGCCGCTGCTTCTCCGCTTTTCCAGCTCCAACATCAGCTCTCTCATTTTCATTCGCTCTTTTGGCTCGTAATCCGGCTGAAAAAATACTCCAGGATGCTGACCCCGCAGCGATGATTTTCTCAGTAACAGGAGATGGGCCTGTGCTTCAGTCTCTAAAAGGACTTTTAGGGGTCGAGGCCGGGATGCGAAACTGGATGCTGACTGAGTCTTCCCTAGTGGGAATGCTCTGGTAAAATTAACTGACTGTTTAATTGAACTGTTTAGTCACCAGTATTTGAGAAAGTTAATAATCTCCTTGCATAACCTCCTGGGGTGTCTAACTAATTTTAATATACCAACACGACGCATATGTTCTGTGTAAGCAGCGACTGTTCAAAAAAAGTTTAACATACTACCTTATACAAGAGCTTCAAGGATAGCACTTTCCTTGTAATCCAAAACCCCAGAGAAAGTAAAATATTCTCCCATACAATGACCTAAACGGTGACGGATTTAATGTACAGGGGAACTAGCGAGTAGTGTTATTCGAAGTTTCCGGTATAGATGGGAACTGACGGAAAAAAATCAAGGATAAACACATTGTGTGACACCCTGCAAATGCCATTGTGTGCATTTATTAAATTTTCCCCAAGATCGGCGCTAAAGGAAAACAGCCTTCATTCCACCGGTAGATTGGAACTGCTCCTGACAGTTGGTGGATGACGAGACTCGTCTGCTTAAAACACTCTCCAGAAATGGATACCCAAGATTATCATAGCAAATACCACCAGGCCAAAAGAGAGATCTCAAATTAAATGACGAATCCGGAAGAGCCTTTGAGTATTCGGATACCCTTCGTTGGCGGCTTTTCGTCAGATGTTGTCAGAAATATGATACTTTACAGTAGATGTAAATCACTTGGAATATTGAGGAATGAATCCTTTTCAATTTTCTCCTCAAAACGTGTGTTAACCCATCACGAATATAGAATCAAATTTTATGACTTTCGCGACTGCCGAGGAACTGTAGCTACGGTCAAGGACTAATCGTTGAAAGCAAATGGACGTATCAGCCCAGACCTCCGACTCTTTCCGCCTTTGTGCCACCAAAACGTGACGTTTGGGACACAGGTTCCAATTACAGTGCGCAACGTTGGCTTTCAAAGTCAGCGAGTACACCGAAGGAATTGAACAGTTCTGCAGAACAGACGACCTTGGATTAAATCTTAATTCCAAAAACACTGTTTGCACCGTAGCGGAACAGACCACCTAAAACTGGTGTGGACTGTGCTAGTAGCTTGCTTATTACTAAAGATTCTTCTGTGCTTCCATAAATACTTCCTTAAATGGTCTCCCACTAACTTCGTCTTTCGAACTTCCTCAATGATGTCCTAATCACGTACGAAGACAAATATGATATGTATTTTACAGTTCCATGTAGGTTCTCCATTACGAATACCCGAAATTACGCAAACCATCTTAGGTATATAAATGAAGTTTTTCCAATGTAATCGAGGATTTTTCAGGTTGTCTGATTACGTTGACATAAATAGACTGTTGACATTATTTTCCAAACATTCAAGTATCTCATTAGAACAATAAGGGAGAATCATCGGTGCAACTCAAAGTTACATGCTGCGAGATTCACAAGAAACCTTATTTTTCTACCGAGGATCTGAACGGGTAAAAAACCATTTACGTAGGACCTTGCTAGGTTTGGTAAACCACTGTGAGGTACATTCAAAATTTTACAGATGTATGCGAAATGCACGAACTAAGTGATTATATGTCGCACTTACATTATGATATATCCCCAATTAGTATGACGCCAGTTCTGTGCGGAATAGAAGACAGACAGGAAAGGCGAGCGAAAAGCTTTACTGCGTCAGTCACCCTGTGTACATCAACTCGTAATCCTTCCGTCCGCGGCTTCGTATTTAAGGGTTCAGCCTTCATCTGGTTTGCGTGTTCCTATTGGTTCACTCCTGAGCGCCGGCATGGGCAGGCTTTCACATGTTGCTGATCCATGGAAGTCGCGCGCGACTCCGCGGAGTGCTACTGTCTGGCTCGCATGCGGGCTTCCTAGGCGAGGCTGTGCTGCCGGTTTGTGTTACTTTTTCAGGCGTGACATCCGGATAACAGGAACGGTGCGTCATGTTCTGGGCCGTTCTAACACCTCCCGCTTTTAAAGAGTGGACCTCGGACGTTCGTCAATGTGGGTGGATCAGAAGTCTGTTCGGGGGGCGTCTAGTTCGAGAGGGCCGCCTAGGGGCCTGGACCACTCTTGGAACCTCAACCTTCGGAGTCGGGATACTGAAAGTGTCACAAAGTAGGCCCATGGCCACTTGGTTGTCTGACGCCATTCGGTGTGTCAACTGGTTCGCGTGTCTTCTCACACGTCCTCGAATTGTTTCAACTCCGAAAACTACACCATGTGCCCTTTTGATTATGCCTTCTATCCAGGGTTCCCCTCCTGGGACGTAATATCGTACGTATACCTCTTCTCCCTCCACGG